TTTCTGGACCCCCCCAGCAGACCAGGGACACCCGAGCAAAGCCGCCCAGGTTTGCTGGACCCCCCCCCCCCCAGCAGACCAGGGAGACCGGGAGAAGCTTTTCTCGCCCTGGAGGACACGGGTGGCGACCTGCCGCCCGTGAGCTCCGGGGAGAGAAAAGCCCCGTTCATAAATGCGGATCCGACATAAGTCGGATCCGCGTAAGTCGGGGACTGCCTGTACCATGTTGATGCATCCCTCTCTCACTCTGTGTTCTACTTTTGCCACTAATATATATTTAGTAACCCTATGAAGATCCTTGTTACTTGATCAGATACAAAATAATGTGCTAGTAATTTGGATCTGCATTGCACTGCTAATGCTCACTTAAAAACTTAAGATTTAAATAAGCAGCAAGAAGTCTCACTTTTAAACATCTTACATAGATAGTAGTTGCTACATGACACATTCTGGCAGGTATCTCATGTGATGTCATATACTGAATAATGCCAACTGTTAACTTTTACATAAGCCCATTGTTTCTCAGATCATTACCACTAGGGATATTAGCTAGCATGTAACTGAATAGTTGTGTAACCATATTAAATTTTAGCAGCTACACAACTATTCAACAGTCCTGAAGCCCCCTGCCACTGCCTCTCTCTACCTTTAAATAATGGCTTCCCACCTGCGACCCCACGCTGCTGTCTCTAATACAGACCCCCATGCACAAGGGTTGCTTTGTGGAAGCCTTCCCTACCCCCCGTACTCCGCACTGTAGTCTCTTACAGAAGCAGCAGTGCAAGGTGGAGGGAGGGAGGTGGCACCAGAGAACCAGCTCCCCACCAGCACTAGCTCCTTCTCCCCCTGCAGGAGGCAGCAAGGCAGGGGGGAGGCGGGTCCACAGATCCGGCATGCACAGAGAGATGGCATGAAAGCCGGCTTCATGGGTGCATTGGCTCTTTCCTGCACCCTCCACACTGCTGCCTCTCTATCAGTTGCAGCAGTACCTGGTATTTGCCAGAGAGGCAGCGGGGAGGGGAAGGTAATGTGTGTAGTCTATAGGATTAATTGATAAACCCAGTCTTATTGGTTAATCATGTAGCTGTCTATATGCTGACATCACTACTTACCACCAAAGACATCATCACAATAACTGCCTATAACTTTGGTTGTGAACATACTGTAAGATCATTATGTAAGGTGAAAAATTAACTTGCGTATCTTCCCAAAAACGCTGGAAAAAATTAGTTATATATGATTACTATGGTTTCCATCTTTAAAACACATCTATCCACTTCAACAGACAGAGGGAAGATTCATAGTCATGTTTCTTGCAGCTCTGTAATTTTCTAGCAAAATCTGCTCCCCAATGTGGTTTATAAGGACCTTTTCAAGAAGGGAGAAATTGACGTCTCTAGCTCGGCAATGACTTAGGCATGGCTTTAACTTCAGGCACCACATGCGCTCCCACTGACTGCAAAGGGGTCAGAGCAGGGATGCAATGGTGCAGTAGTGGCTTAATGAATACGCAAGAGCGTAGAGGTTAACGCTATAGGCCTTGCCAGTGAACGTTTCAGCAGGCGGCCCAGCAGCCTGGCTCAGCCCAGCACAGACCCCGCTGCTGCTCCGCATTTCAAGTGTCCTAGGAGCCAGGTGACAGGCAGCCCGGCTCAGTTCCCGCCCGCGCTGGGTCTGGGGGCTCAGCCCCCTCCCCCACCGCGGACAGGGGCTGCCGCCCCCCCCCACTGCTCCGTTGAGAGCCCGGCACCCGTCGGTCCCGCCCCGCCCGGCAGCTGGGGGGCACCGGAGGCCCCCGCAGCGCGCGGCGCGGCCCCCGACCTGAAGTTGGACCAGACGAAGCTCAGCGCCGCCTGGAAACGGCCGCCGGGCTCCTCCTGCGCCTCGCGGAGCCCGGTCACGCGCCGGATCAGCGCCCGGACGTCCCGCTCCTGCTCCTGCTCGCAACGGCTCCCGCGCGCGACCTGAGTTGCCATGGCCGCCGGGGGCCGCCTTCCCCGCGGCTCGCTTCTTTCCCCCGCGCCGTCCCGCTCCCCATCACTTCTCGCGAGGCTTCCCTTCCAAATCTCACGAGATTTCCCGCTTGTAAAAGCTCTCCTCCCGCCCCCTCCCCACCTTCTAAAGCAGGAGCTTGGACGCGGATCTGGGAGGGGGGGAGGGCGACGGACGACAGCTGAGCGCATGCGCCTGGGGCTGTGAGCGGAGAAAGTCGCTTGTGAGATGGAGTGAGAGAGCGAGCAAGAGGACACATCATGTGACCCCCAGCCCTATCCTGATTGGCTGTGGTGCTGGGCTGGCTCTCCGCCTTATCCCAGCCAAGGGGACAGAGCAGAGCAGAGCGCGTCTATGGGCGCGTGCCTGGCTGCCTCTCCGCTGCCGCCTTGCGCGTGGGGCGTGCACAGGGAGCGCCCGTGCGCGTCTCTGGCTGGACGGCAGCAGGATGTGACAACCCAAGGGAGGGAAGGTGGCAGCCTCGCTCCTTGTGTGTGTGTGTGGAAAATTTCAGGCGTCTGCAGTGGGCAGATGTGGGCACATCTGGAATGACCTCCGGGCTCAGCCCCTGTGCACAGCAGCGTTGGGATCTCTGCTGCTTGCGGCAGCGCTGTCTCTCTTCGTGTAGTGTAGTGAATAGACACAGGCCTATGGCCAGAACCGTCCCGTCCATAGGAGGTTCCAAAGGCAGCTGCATCACGCCCTGTGCTTTGGGGAGGGAGGGGGCTTGCAGCAGCCATCAACCATCAACATCAACCATCCTATGGACCAGTCCCACCCAACTTGGGGGGTGGGGCCTGGAATGTGGCAACAGCAGCAACGTGCTGCCCCCCTCCCCTCCCTCACTCTGGCAACTGGAGCCAGAGTGACTAACAGGGCAGCAGGTATCATAGCCCCGGGAAAGTCATTGCCATCCCAACCACCAGACATGGCCCTGGCCACACTCTGCCCCCAGAACGCCTACTGTAGGGCTACGTCTACACTGGCCCCTTTTCCGGAAGGGGCATGTAAATTTCAGCAGTCGTCGTAGGGAAATCCGCGGGGGATTTAAATATCCCCCGCGGCATTTAAATAAAAATGTCCGCCGCTTTTTTCCGGCTTTTAAAAAAGCCGGAAAAGAGCTTCTAGACTGGCCCCGATCCTCCGGAAAAAGTGCCCTTTTCCGGAGGCTCTTATTCTTACTTCGAAGTGGGGGAGAAGTGTTGCTGCCCACAGTGCCTGCCCTCCCCATGCTCAGGGAAGGGAAGGTTGCAGTCACATGCCTTCCTCTATCCCTAAGTGCTCCAGGACAGGGATGCCGGGGCCACACGCCCTCCTCTCTCCCTGTGGTGCTGGGGGTTGGGAGGACTAGGACAGTGTGCCACCCCACCTCTGTGGGGGGTCCTGGCCAGAAGGGGCAGAGTTGGGGCTAGGGCGTCCCCCTGCCCTACCTTTTCCCACTGCCCATACTCAGTGGCTTGCTCACGTCTGCCCTGCCACCCTCTCCCAACCTGCTATGTTTTGCTTCACTGCAGCAGTGGGACACAGATAGTGATGTAAAGGACTAGTCAACTATCCAATAAGCTTATAGGATAGTTGACTAGTCACTCCCCGCCCCCTTGCTGCCTCTATTATATAGAGGCAACAAGGGGGGTAGAAGTGGGTGGTAGTTAAAAGCAGTAGCAATGCACGGAGCCCAGGGTCAGCTGCTCTGTGCGGCGCTGCCGCTTTGAATGCCGCAGGGAGCCCAGCATCAGACTCCTCACGGCATTTCAAAGCAGTAGCGTGGAGCCTGGGATCAGCTGGGGACTCTCCGCTGGCCCCGGGCTCCACACCACGTTCCAGCTTTGAAATGTACAAGACCCCTGCTGACCCCAGGCTCCATGTGGCACTTCCGCTTTGAAATGCACAAGAGCCCTCACTGGGGCTCTGTACGTTTCAAAGGCAGAACATGGAAGTGCTTATCGACTAGTTGAGTAGTTTCTGCTGCCATGGCAAAGTGGGGAGAAGGCAGTGGGGTGGAGCAGAACAGGCTGCGGGCCCCTCCAGGTCCTGCTACTGTGGTTAGTGCAGGGATAAGGCAGCACCACACCAGGCCCTTTACTCCTCCAGCTTGTGTTGGTTGGGGGAGAGGGCAGAGCTTGGTGGAAAGGCCTCTAGTGGGGAGCATGGGGGAAGGGCCTGTGGGGGCGGGGTGTTGTCCTGGGCCCCGCATTCCACTAGGGATGGCCCTGTCTGTGGTATGTGCTAAAATAACAGCAAATAAATAGAAACTGCTGTGAGGAAAAATGAAAGCTAAAAAAAAAAATCTACAATCTTATGTAAGCACTACTAACTTATTTAAGCTTCCTGGAGTGCTTTTTTTTCTTCTTTTTTTTGTTTTTTGCAGAGGTCAAAAAGTGGTTAAGTTGACTTACGTGTCTGTGTTTACACAATTTCTTTATATACACAACTTGAGTTTCAATTTAGGCCTTAATTTTAATATAGTGGTTCCCAACCTTTAGGGTTGTGGGCTCACCCTCACCCTGTTCATGCCTTCTTCCCCCAGAGTCAGAGATGGGCCACAGCTAGAGGGAGAAAAACACAGATGGGGTAAGGGGACAAAGACTGGGTCACACTCTCTCCCCACTGCCTATGGGGATTGGTGCAGTCCTACCTATGCCCCCACAAGTGTACTTGTGCACTCCCATAACGGGCATATCCCACAGTTTGCAAACATCTGCCTTAGTGTGACAGGTCCAATAATTACAGGTGGCGCCCCACCTAACAATCCCGAGGATTCACTTTTTCAGCCTTTGCATCTTCTTCTGGTGCAGAAAACTTTACCGTTTTTGTTAAAGTGCACATCAGTTCAAAATTTCATCGCAGCAGTACAGCTGTATTAACATTTGGAAAATAAAAGAATTTCAATTGTATGCAGTTTCATTTCTAGTTGAGGAAAGAAATAGGTGTATGTGCAGTACATAGAAACATTTTAAGAGAATAGATAAAACATCTATTGGGAATATAAAATACCATTTAATTGGTTAAATGCTTAAATGCAGTGCTAGCACTGTGTTTAGTCAATTATAGGGGGTGGTGTAGAGCTAGACTGATTAGAGTTATGGATTGTCTGTGTCAAGATGATGCATTTCCATAAACAGCCATGTCAGCAAAAGCAACAGGAAGAATCTTGTACTTGATTTTTATTCATAACAGGAAGGAGATGATGTGATAACATTCTATTGTAGCAACTCTCGCAGCACATCTTTTTGCTGTCTTAAAAGTGACTTTTTTACTATTAGAGGTTGATCTGGCAGCTATTGGGAGTACAGGAAACTCTTGCTTTGGCAGAGAATATGGTTCTCCTGAGGTCTCCAGTCCTGAGAAAGTTATTGCAGCTCCTGGTCCCTGTGGTGAGTTCCCCACATGTAGTTCTGGAGCTGCAGGGAGCTCACGTCAGGGACCAGGAGCCATGGCTCCCAGTATTTGCCATTTCTGGTAGATGTGGGAACGCATCAACTGCAAATGGCCAGGGTTTCCTGTATTGTAGTCAGAGCCATTCCTAAGGGCTTGTGGGGCCTGGGACAACCCCCTTCACCTTAGGTCCCAGCCTTTTTCCTGCCCTGTTCTCATTTCACTCCTTTCCCAAGCAACAGGGCCTAGGGGATTAGCAGGAATCCTGGTGTCAGCAGCAGCTGTAAGGCCCACCCTTGTACTCACCAGTGGTGGCAGGAGGCAGATTGACCCAGCCCCAGACCCAGCCCCAACCCCAACCCCAACCCCAGCCCGCTCCACTGACTCATTCCCAGAAAGTTAATGGTACTTATTTATTTGATGGTAGTTGAGAATGCTATATAAAATCTTGAATATATTAAACATGTCCCTACAGACTTTGTAGATAATAGTAATAAACAGGAATATAAGCATAGGTATTCATTCCTATTAGTCATTCTTTTGATGTTTTCCATGCACAGCATGTTGGGACACTAGCAATATTACTGCTGATAAAATAGGTTTGTCAATAATTATTTGTGTACTTATATAATTCTGGGAAAAGATATTCCTTAAAAACAGAGACTTCTAGCTAAGGCTGTGTCTGCACTAACATTTTGTACAACCCCACACCACAGTCATATATACTCCGCCCCAATGCTTAGACACCTAGGAGTTGAAAAGTTAACAAGCATAAAAACAGCCATACTAGGTTAGACCAAAGGTCCGTCTAGATCAGTATCCTGTCTTCTGACAGTGGCCAATGCCAGGTGCCCTAGAGGGAATGAACTGAATAGAAAATCATCAAGTGATCCTTCATCTGTTGCCCATTCCCAGCCTCCAACAAACAGAGGCTAGGGACACCATCCCAGCCCATCCTAGCTAATAGCCATTGATAGACCTATCTTCTATGAATTTATCATTTTTGAATCCTATTAAAGTCCTGGGTCTTTACAACTTCCTCTGGCAAGGAGTTCAACAGGTTGAGTGTGAATTATGTGAAGAATTACTTCCTTTTATTTGTTTTAAATCTACTACCTAGTAATTTAATTTGGTGACCCCTAGTTCTTTTGCATACATGTCACAATATTAATGACCCAACTTTTACTGAAGACATCACATGATAGCCTTTATTCCAGGCTAGCTCCAGTCTGTAGATCTCATTGGGATTCCTCTGTACTGGCTGCTTGCCTGTCTGCTGCTTCTCCTCTGTAAGTCCCACAGGGACCTGTACCCAGCCGTGATGTCCAGCACACACAGCTCAGTGTACGTTCACCCTTGCTCATGCTGACAATATTTCTTCTCACCTTGTGGCTCACCATGTGGTTGCTTCTTTCCAAACAGAACCCAGCCACACCCAGATGTAGACCCTTTCCATTTACCAGGTCAGAGGGAAAAATTGCAGTGGGGAGAAAGCTGATGGAAAAAAGCTGATAGAAAATATAATCCTTTCTTAGTCAAAAAGGAAGAAGATACACAGTGGGGAAAGAGCTGATGTGAGTTCTATGCTCCTGCTTCCTTAGCAGATCTTCCACACAGGGATCGGGGAGTACAAGGGATGCAAACAGCAAATTAAATACAAGGAAAACAAAAAACTATGAGG